GGCACTTGGGTTGTTTCTACATCCTTGCAATAGTGAATTGTGCTGCTGTAAACATTCAGTTGCAGATGTCTTGATTATAGAATGTCTTTTGCTCTTTTGGGTAGATGCCTAAAAGTGCTATTGCTAGATCAAATGGTATTTCTATTTTTAGCTCTTTGGGGTATCTCCAAATTATTTTCCATGGAGGTTGTACTAATTTGCAGTCCCGCCAACAGTGTAAGAGTGTTCCTATAACTCTGCAGCAGACAACTTTACCAGCCAGGGCATGGTGCTTACATACATTTCCTTTTGTCTTTCATTCTACACTTTCCACTCATTTCTAGAGCTGTTTAGGTTAACACCCTTTCTCCCTCTGACCCCTTTCAGTGAGGCTGTGTTGCATATTAATACTTGTGCTACAGTTACATTTTTGTCACTGTCTGCATTCTATCCTAGGGTCCCTGGATCTCCTCATTGTTGTTTCTCTTAGTATGAACACATTACTGTGTGTTGTAGGATCTATGGGGTTGGCAGATACATAGTATCATGTGTCCCCCACTAAAGTGTTGTACAGAGTGTTCTTGCTGCCCTAAAATAGTCCCCTATGCTTCCTCTGTTCACCCTACTCCTACCCCTGGGTCATGGGACACCACCAATCTTTTTACCATCTCTATAGTGTTGCCTTTTCCAGGATGTTATATGAATGGAATCATGCAATGTGTGGCCTTCCAGACTACCTTCTTTCTTTCTTTTTTTTTTTTTTTTTTGAGACAGTCTTACTCTGTTGCCCAGGCTAGAGTGACATGGCATCAGCCTAGCTCACAGCAACCTCAAACTCCTGGGCTCAAGCAATCCTCCTGCCTCAGCCTCTGGAGTACCTGGGACTACAGGCATGCACCATCATGCCCGGCTAATATATATATATATATTTGGTTAGCCAATTAATTTCTGTTTATAGTAGAGATGAGGTCTCGCTTAGGCTGGTCTCAAACTCCTGACCTTGAGCAATCCACCTGCCTTGGCCTCCCAGACTGCTAGGATTACAGGCATGAGCCACAGCACCTGGCCCAGACTACCTTCTTTCAATTTGCGATATGTACTAAAGATTAATCTACATTGTTGCCTAGGTTTATAGTTCATTTCACTGTTGAATAGTATTCCATTGGATGGGTGTACTAAATTTGTTTATCCATTCATCTACTAAAGGACATTTTGGTTACTTTCATTTTTTTTTTTTTTTTGATTATGAGTAAAGCTGCTATAAGCATTCATGTATAGTTTTAGTACAGGTAAGTTTTCAAATTCATGAAGCAAATATTTAGGAACATGGTTACTGGGCTGTATGGCAAGGCTATTAGCCAAATTATCTTCTGAAGTGGCCAGAGCATGCAATTTCACCAGCAAGGAAGCCATTTCAATATATGTATCATGGTATCTCATCTTCATTGTAATTTCCATTTTCCTAATGACAAATGATGTTGAATATCTTACAATATTTCTATTTGTCATCTGTATATCTTCCTTGATGAGGTATCTGTTCAGATATTTTCCAATTTTTTATTGGGTTATTTTATTTAGGTTTCTAAAAAAAATACATTTAGTGGGTACAAGTTGAATTCTGCTGCATGTATAGTGGTGTAGTCTGGGGTTGTTTTAGTGCATGTATCACCTGAATGTCTGCTTTGTTGAAGATAAGTTGGATGTAGCTATATGGTTTTATTTCTGGGTTTTCTATTCTGCTCTATTGGTGTATGTCTCTAGCTTTATACCAGTTTAATGCTGTTTTGGTTACTATAGCCTTGTAGTATAATTTGAAATTAGGTAACCTGATGCCTCCAGCTTTGTTCTTTTTGCTTACGATTGCTGTGGCTATTCAAGCTTTTTTTGATTCCATATGAATTTTAGAATTGTGAAAAATATTGTTTGTAGTTTGTTAGGAATTGCATTGAATCTATAGATCGTTTTGGGCAGTGTGGTCATTTTAACAATACTGATTCTTCCAATTGATATGCATGGGTGTTTCTCCATTCGTTTGTGTCATCTACAATTTCTTTCATCAGTGATGTGTAGTTCTCCTTGTATAGATCTTTTACCTTCTTGATTAAATATATTCCTAGGTATTTTTCTTTTTTTTCTTTTTTTGGTTCTTGTAAACGAAATTGCATTCTTGATTTGATTAGCAGTTTGGTTGTTACTGGTGTATACAAATATTGATTTATGTATGTTGATTTTATAACCTCAGACTTTGCTGAATTCATTTATCAAATCTAGGATTCTTTTTGATAAGTCCTTAGGGTTTTCAGGATATAAGATCATATGATCAGCAAACAGATAATTAGACTTTTTTTTCCAGTTTGGGTGCTTTTTATTTTATTCACTTGCCTGATTGTTCTAGCTAGGACTTCCAGTACTATGTTGAATAGAAGTGGTGGCAGTGGGCACCCTTGTCTTGCTCCAGTTCTTAGGGGGAATGCTTTCAACTTTTCAGTATGATGTTGGCCATTGATTTGTTGTATAAGGCTTTTATATTTTGAGGTGTTTTCCTTCTATGCTGAATTTTTGAGGGGTTTTATCACAAAGGATGTTGGATTTTATTGAATGCTTTTTCTGCATCTATTGAGATGCTCATATGTTTTTTTATTTTTAGTTCTGTTTATGTGGTGAATCATATTTGTTGTGTATGTTGAACATCCTTGCATCCTTGAGCTCAAAATCACTTAATGGTGATGAATTATCTTTTTGATATACTGTTGCATCCAGTTTGCTAGCATTTAGGTGCAGAATTTTGTATCTATGTTCTTGAGGAATATTGGTCTGTGTTACTTTTTGTTGTGTCCTATCTTAGCTTGGTATCAGGGTGATACTGTATTCATAGAACGAGTTAGGGAGGATTCCCAACTTCTCAATCTTTTAGAACAGTATCGATAGTATTGGTACCTGTTCTTTGTATGTCTGGTAGAACTTAGCTGTGAATCCATCTGATCTTGGACCTTTTGTTAGATTTTTAAATTACTGATTCAATCTTGTTACTCGTTATTGATCTATTCAGGAGTTCTGGTTCATATTGTTTCAATCTTGAGAGATTGTATGTTTTCAGGAATTTATCCATTTCCTCTAGGTTTTGTAGTTTATGATCTTTTGAATTTCTGTGGAGTCAGTTGTAATGACTCTTCATTTCATTTGTCGGTCATCTCTCTTTTCTTGCTTAGTCTAGCTAATGGCTTATCAATTTTATCTTTCAGAGAACTAATTTTTCATTTCATTGATTCTTTGTTTTTTGTTCTCAGTTTCATTGAGTTCTGCCCAAATCTTTGTTATTTCTTTTCTTCTGCTAACTTTGTGTTTGTTTTTTTTTTTTCTTGTTTTTCCAGTTCTTTCAGTTGCAATGTTAGGTTGTTAATTTGTGATTGTTCTGCTTTTTTGATGTACACATTTAATCCCATAAGCTTCCCTCTTGGTAGTGCTTTTTCTGTATCCCACAGGTTTTGGTATGTTGTGTTTTCATTTTCATTCATTTCAATTTTTTTTTTTTAATTTTCATCTTTATTTGTTCACTGGCCCAGTGATTATTTAGGAGCACATTGGCTAATATCCATGTATTTGTATAGTTTCTGAAGGTCCCCTTTGTAATCTACTTTTATTCCACTATGGTCTAAGAAGATGCTTTATATAATTTTGAGGTTTTTTTTTCACATTTGTCATAATTTCTTTTGTGTCCTAACTTATGATCTATCTTGGAGAATGTTCCATGTGTTGATAAAAAATGTATATTTTGTAGTTGTTGGGTAGAATGTTCTGTAAATGTTTGAGTCTATTTTGTCTAAAGTCCAATTTAAGTGCGATGTTTCTTTGATCTGTCAGGTTCTGTGAGTGGGGTGTTGACATCCGTCACTGTTATTGCACTGCTGTCTATTTCTTTAGGTCTAGTAATATTTTTTGAATCTGGGTGGTCTGATGTTGGGTACATATATATTTAGGATTGTTATATCCTCTTGCTGAATTGATCCCTTTATCATTATATAGTAATCTTCATCCCTTTTTATTGTTCCTAATTTAAAGTTTGATTTATATAAGTATGGCTACTCCTGCTCTCGTTTGGTTTGCATGGAGTATCTTTTTCTACCCCTTTACTTTCAGTCTCTATGTGTCTTAAGGTGAGTTGCTTGTAAACAGCACATAATTGGATGATTTTTTTTAACCCATTCTGTCAATCTATACCTTTTTAAGTGGAGAACTTAATCCACTTACGTTCAAGGTTAATATCAATATGTGAGGCTTTGTTCTTCTCATATTTTTAATTGTTTTCTATCTGTATAAATTTTTTTTCTCCATCTTTTTGTCTTTGTGGGTTGTTGAACTTCTGTAATGTTGCATATAATTCCTTTCTCTTCCTTCTTTGTGTGATTGTTTTATCAGACCTTTGACTTTTATATTTTAATGTGTTTTTGTTATGGTGTTTCCATGTGTGACACACCTTTGAGCATTTCCCATAGGGCTGTGAAGTCTATGTCTGACTTAATTTGTTTTGTTTTGCATATGGGCCTCCAGTTGTTCCAGCATCTTTTGTTAAAAAGGCTGTGCTTCTTCATTGTGCCTTTGTCAAAAATCAATTGACTATGTTTGTGGCGGCATGCCTTATCTGTTATTTACTGAGAAAAATGTGATTTCCCACTATTTGAAAGTACGTCTGTATATGCTTGAATATTGAGGATATGTCGGGTGACTATAGGTTAGGATTCTTATATCTTCTGGATTATTTCATCTATCCTCCCATCTATTAAGTTTTTTTTCAGTTATCACAATTTTAAGGACCATCTCAATAAGAATGTGAGATGAATCTAATTAAAGAACTTCCTGTCCTCATCCCCATGCCCCCCAAACTAGCAAAAAGTTAGTGATCTCACTTCATTCATTTTGAATAACTTGGTACTACCCTGAATTTTCCACAGGTTTTATTTATTTATTTTTTCTTGTTCCTGGTAATTATCTCTCTGAAGATTGATATCTGTGCCCTGGATGAGATGGCATCATCTTTCTTTTCTGATTTTGGGCTTATATGGTATCTAGAGGAGCTCAAGAAGGACGAGTTCAGAAAATTTAAGGAGCACCTCAAGCAAGAGACTTTGCAACTTGGACTCCAGCAAATTCCCTGGGCCGAAGTGAAAAAAGCCTCCCGGGAAGATCTAGCAAACCTGTTGATCAAGCATTATGAGGAACAACAAGCATGGGATATAACCTTAAAGATCTTTCACAAGATCAGTAGACAGGATCTCTGCGATAAGGTCCTGAGGGAGACTACAGGTGAGTGAGTCTGTGGGGAGGGGCCAAGGCTTCTTATCATGAAGATCACATCATAACTTTGGTAAATGGTATCTAATGCCTGTCTACAACAGGGACAAAATGTGCTATGGAAAATAGTATCCTTGTAGGTGGGAAATAACTTCTCTTAGACCTGGTGGGTTTTGTGGCAAAATGTAGGTAGATAATATGTCCTAACCTGTATTGTACCTCTATCTGTGTCACCAATAATTTTACTCTAAGCCGAGAATTTGCATCCTAGCCAGAGACTCTAAGGTGAAGTTGTAGCATAGAAACTCTGGACTTGGCCCAAACAGCAATTAACACCTGCTGTAGATTGTTTAATGAACTGGTGTTAACTGGTATAATTGTGTGTGTTCAAAACAGCCAGAGAAGGCCAGTGCTTAATAAGATTTCTAAATCATTGTCATGTATGTATGTATGTATTTTAATATTGAATAAGCAGAAGTTCATGTCAGGGAAGCTATGATCTATAAGCAATATAGTCTTAAGGGTCACATTTACATTTATCCTGCTGTAAGATGTTACTTTATTTTGCATATTTACGATATCAATGGCAGAAAATAGCTCTTCTGACATACTGTTAGATATTCTTGTTTTTGTTTTTGATGTTCAGCTATCTTACTGTGATATGCCTAGATGTGGCTTTCTTTGTATTCATCCTGCTTGAGATCCTCTGATATTCTTGCATCTGAGGTTTAGTAACACTTCAGCTCTCAATTTCAGCCATTGCGTGTTTAAATATTATTTCTATCCCATTCTTCTCGTCCTTCTGGGACTCCAATTATGCCTTTATAATTGGTATAATTAGACCTTTATGTGCCATGTGTCTCTTTTTTTTTCCTTTTTTTTTTTTTTTTTTTTGTTTTAGTCTGGATATTTATTTCTAATTTTTTTAAACTCTCTCATTCACTATTCGGCTATTTCTAATCTGCATATAAACCCATTTTTTGATTTCTCAGATTCAATCAACGTATTTTGTTTATACAGTTTGCCCTTGTTTTTCACAGACTTCCATCCTTTCTGGAACATCAACTCTTCTATGTTATTGAACATCTTAAGTTATTTTAAAATCTGAAAATTTTGACATTGTACAGGTCTTTTTCTACTGCTGCTTTTTCTCCTTCTTTTTGCTCATATGCTCTTCTGGTATGCCTGGTAATTTTGAGTGCAGATTTTGAATAGGAGCCATTGAGGAGGTTATTGGGGTGCTGTAAGATACCTTTTTCCAGATAAACTGGAATTGCTTCTGGTAGCAGTTAGGGGAATAGCTCCTTTACGTGGAGGATTGAAGTAATTCAAATATAGGCTTTGTCTTTGCAAGGAATAATGTTTCTAGTTTCTTTTCCCCAGACCTTAGTCATTCAGCATCCTGACTAAAAGCCTGAAGTGTTTAACAATCCCCCTCGTCCTTGGCACGTGTTCCCCAGCTATTGTACCCCAGCCCCTGGACCTGCTAGAGTTTGCCCTGACTCACTAGTCTTTTAGTCCTTAATGTCTGCTCAGCTTCTTTAGAGGCAAATGCCTCGACCTCTCCTCATCCTCCTCCCATATGCTTTCATTCCTCAGTGATTTTCAATACTTAAAAAAAATATGTTTTGCTCATCATTTCCAAGTGTTAGTTGGGTAGTTGGTTTGAAATAAATGAATTAGAGAGTTTCCATTTTTGGCCATGCTAGTCTTTCTGGTGTATCTACTTTTTTTTTTTTTTTTTGAGACAGAGTCTCACTCTGTTGCCTGGGCTAGAGTGCTGTGCGCGTCAGGCTACTCACAGCAACCTCTAACTCCTGGCTCAAGTGATCCTCCTGCCTCAGCCTCCTGAGCAGCTGGGATTACAGGCATGTGCCACCATGCCCGGCTAATTTTTTCTATATATTTTTAGTTGTCCAGCTAATTTCTATTTATAGTAGAGAAGGGGTCTTGCTCTTGCTCAGGCTGGTCTCGAACTCCTGACCTTGAGCGATCCTCCCACTTTGGCCTCCCAAAGTGCTAGGATTACAGGCAAGAGCCACCGTGCCCAGCCATGTATCTTCTTGATTTGGAACATTACTCAGAAAAACTATCCGTTCCAAATTAAAAAGAAAAAAATAACTAATCTCCACACTTTCTATATTTTTTGGTTTCATTTTTTTACATTAGACTACTTTATCCATTTGGAATTTATCCTGATATAAGGTGTGAAGTATGGACCCATTGTTACCGGGGGATTTTGGGGGGGGGGGCAGGGGGCAGTGTTTGCTTTTTGCATGTTTAAGCAATTGTCCTGAAACCTTCTGTTGAATATACAAGTTTTCTCTCATAGACACGAAATGCCAATTTAATCATATTCTAAATCTCCCAACTGTGCATGTTAATCTATAGATTTTTTTTTTATTCTATTCTATTGGTTTTGATTCTTAATTTTTAATTTTTTTTCTTTAGAGACAGTTCTTGCTGTGTTGCCCAGGCTGGAGTGCAGTGGTGCAATCATAGCTCTCTGCGGCCTTGAACTCCTGGGCTCAAGGGATCCTCCTGCCTCAGCCTCTCAAGTTTGGGATTATACGTATGCACCTGGCTTATGTCACCTGGCTAATTTTTAATTTTTTTTTTTTTTAGAGACAGGGTCTCGGTCTGTTCCCCAAGCTGTTCTTAAACTCCTTGCCTCAAGTGATCCTCCCACATTGGCCTCCAAAAGCACTGAGATTACAGGAGTGAGCCACCACACCTGGCTTGCATCTCAATTACTTTTAAAAATGTTTTCTGTATATTAGTATAGCTTCTCCACATTGTTCTTTTTTTTTAAGAATTTCTGGGGATTTTTTCTTACAAGCTTTATGGGAAAAAATGGTTCTAAAACTTCTTGATACCTTGGAGGTAATTTTTATAAGTTAATATGCATAAAAATGATATTCTTATGTTATCTTTCTTAATATTTTTCAAGTATCACTTATTCCATAGTTTGTTGAGATTCTATCCACTATATAATGAATACTGCTTTTTTTCATTGTTTGTAGCAGTTTTTCAGCCTATACTCTTGAGTCCACCTGACTCCAGACCTCTCTTCCCTCGCACTGTTCTGACCCTCACTGCCCTTGGTACATGAATGCGTTCTTGCACCTGGAAGGGGGAATTCCCTCCCCTAGGAGGAAAATGGGGAATGATGCATCCAGATCAGCAGAGCCAAAGTCTCACAACCAAGTCTCTGATATCCCAATGAATGTCACCTGTACTCTGTACTTTGATTTGGGAAGTGCTTTAACCTGGATTTCACATTTGATTCTTGCATGAACTGCTTTTGCATGAGAAATGGTAGAAATTATGAGAACTCATGATAATCAATTTTATTATCTGTAAATAACTCTTCCAAGGCCACTTAGTAGGTAAGTGGCAATGCCTGGGCAAAATATTAGTTTAAGAAATAATGCCATATTTCTTAAAAAGTGTTCCAGTAAATTGAATGGAATGTCAAAAAAAAAAAAAAAAAAAGGAATCCTAGCCTAGAGTTCTTCCCATCAGTATTTTCAGTGCTCAGAAACACTGTTGCTGAACTTCAATGTCACGAGGCAGGTCTCATTTCTACTGAAGTGTTTACCTACATATTCTTCCATGCTCTTGGATTTCCAGGATCATATTAAAATTGCATGTGTGTTTGCTGGGAGATTCCCCAGCTGACAGGGCCAGAAACACAGGGCATCTCACGGGAAAAAGAAACAAGAAAATAGAGGAGAAAAAGTGGGGTGAGGGGACTCAATCAAGGCTTTCCAGACCAAGAGTCCCAAGAGTAATTTTTCGCTCATATTTATTCATTCTAAGAACAAAAGATCATCCTAAATCATACAAGCAAACAATGTTCTATAGACATCCCACAGACAAACAAGTTCTAAAGATTTCCCAAAAAGATTACAATAACCAGGTACACGTCATTTCCGGTAAGCTTTAAAGATCACTGATAAAGATTAAGATATCCAGGTGTACATTAACCTCAGCAAAGCTTTTTCTAGCCTCAAACAAAATAGGAACATAAATTTTGGGATTGTGGCCAGGTCAGTTTTCCAGCAGGTTGGACTTTCCTGATTGCAGTCCTGGAGCAGTTTTCCACACCAAGAGATAAACTGTTTTCGGTTCCTCCTGCCCTTGGAATGTCCTTACCATTTTGAAAACAGCCACACCTATGCAGACTGTCATGTCCACAGAAGTTTCTATGCCAGAAATCTCCCTAGGTCACCCCAACATTTCTAAGCTACCCCAACATGTGTTGGCCTAGTATTGGCAGTGCCTCTCACCCGTGAGTGATTTTTGCTGCCTCCTAGCTGCCCCTAGCAGGGGACATTTAACCGTGTTGATAGGCATTTTTTGTTGTCCCCACTAGGGTGGTGACGGGAAGTGCTGTTTGTGTCTAGTGGTTAGAGGCCAGGGATGCTGTGGAACATTCTGGATGCTCAAGACAGTCCCTTGCCACAAAGAATCATCCAGCCCCCAAATGCCAAGGGTACTGAAGTTAAGCAGCTTGTATTAGAAGGGTGTGGAAAATATGCTGTCTCAAAGTAGCCACTAACCACATGTGGCCCTTAACATCCAAATTATTCTAAATCAAGTTAAAATCTCCTAATCCCAATAGCCACATGTGGTAGTGGCTGCTGTGTTGGATGGCAGAGAATTTAATGTTACCTTCTCACAGGAAGAAAATGCTGGCCCGAAAAGACCATTAGCACACTTTTCGGGAAGATGGGAAAGATGTTTGAAATACACACTCAGTGTGATTCAACTTGGGATCTTAAAAGTGTCAAGCTTTCGGTGAATTTTGTTTGTTTGATGAAGTTATAAGTAGTTTTCATGTTCTAACAGCTTTCTTCTATGACGCCCTCCTTACACACCTCAACTTCAAATGATTCACGTGGTTTTTCTCTTCTTAGAAGTTTATTTAGGGTCCTTTTGTTTTTCCTCATTGCATATTTCCCTAGCTTCCCTTCTTTTCTATTATTGTTGTTCGTTTTTTGCCCCACAGTGAGAGTTGGGCCTCAAACATCTCCAGAAATGTGATCGCTCCTAATGCAGGTCCTTGAACGTCATTGTTGCACACAGGAAATGTCAGAAGAATCTTTCAAATGCGTTCTGCGGAACTTGGCTTCAGACAGGACCTGGCCGGGTGGGGCAGGTGTGGTTTGGGTTTGAAGGCAGGTGGGAGTTGAAACCCTGACTTCGCTTCTGCCCGTGGCCCTGGTGGAGCACGTGAGCCTCTGTCAGTCCTGGTGGTAAAAGGCAGATTCCCTCCCTCACTGCATCAACCTGGAGATTATGAAAGCTGTGCAAATGCTACCTTGCTCAGGACCTGGCAGAGAATCGGGCCCATAAGTTGCGACGGTGTTTCTGTGTAGGTGGGGTTGGTGTGGTTGTTCCCGACAACAGGAGGTACTGCCATCACCTTCCAAACCGAAGTGCAAGCCTGGTAAAGCCCTCCATTCCATATCCTCCACGCTACGTAATATGCCGCCATGCGCGCGATCTCCCACGGCTTGTGAGTTTCACCACCTATGCATAGTGGGCACATGGTTTCACCTTCGTTTAAGAAACACAAAATTCAGGGAGGTTCTTTCCTTCCCAAGGTCCTGTCGCCTTTGAAGAGCAGTAACGGTGTTTAACACAGGTTGTTTAAAGGTTGTTTAAACAACCTGTGGTAACACAGGTTGTTTAACACAGGTTGTTTAAGTTCAGGACTCTTTCTATAGAAATATGTCTTGTGTTTTAACATTCTGAGTTTTTTGCCACTATTTTTCACTTACCAAAAGTATCTTACGTGAAGAAGAATATTTCTTGCACGTGGTAAATGCAATGTAACAGAAGGGTATTGCTAAAATGAAATGCAATCAGGCCTGAAGATAGATCCTCCCATGGGTGCTTCTGTCTTTATCTCCTTTCTCAGTAAGGTTAAGGCTGTACCCATTTAATTCCCTTAGTGAGCAACCAAACATGTAGCCAATGGGATCCTCACTGATGTCGAGGGTGACATTTTTAGCAGCTGGAAACCTCAGAGGACTGATTAGGAGAATCCATTGTCTTCCCCCCACCCCCAAAAGGTTAATGCAGTAGTACCTCCTGTCACATAGCTTCTGTCTGTGGGTGTCAGGTTGTGTCTCTTCCCTGCATACAAACAAATCCAGTAACAACTGTGCAAGGGTATAGGGGCAGTCCCCCACATCTCTGGTCCGTTAGCCAGCATTCACTTGCAGGAAACAAAGATCATACCAGTTATTTAAAGAAAAACAATAATTTTATGGGTGAGTTTGGTGTTTCTGAAACTTTTGGAGGGGCTCAGGGATTAGGCTCTAGGCTGGCGCTCCAGAAATGACTCCACGGACCGCAGCACCAGTGGGCAGCTAACTCCCGTGCAGTTAGGAATGCGGGAGATCAGAGGGCCATGTCTAGAACTGGGACTTTAAAAATGCACCACTGTAAATATATAAAACTATTATGTACCTATCAAAGTTTTAAAAATACACCACTGTAGCTGTGATTCCAGAAGGCTGCCCAAGGAGCTGCTCCTTGAAATCCTTGACTGTAGCAAGTGGAAACTACAGTTCTGTTACAGAAAAACCCAGTGTCCCTGCATTCATGGTGACTGGCAGCAAAACAGAAAGGCAGATACTTCCCTTCTACCTTCCAGTGTCGTGAGTGTGTGTGTAGATCGCAGAACTTAACCTGTACCTTCGATCTTGGCTGCAAGGGATTCTGAGACAGGTGGGGCTTTGTCGTTGTTTGCTTTTTGTTTGTTTTTTTCAGCATTCTGCCATTGAAAGGACAAGAACGCCCACTAGAATAAAGTTGGAATGAATACGAGAGGCCACTCTGTCACAGAGAGTGCATCTGCTTTCCCTCCGGGAGCAGTCCCTGTGGCAGGTCCTCCCTATGTAGCCTTTCACATCTATTCCATACACACAAATCCTGTGTCTGTGTCTCAGTCTCTTGTTCACACAGATGGGTACATGCTATAGATACTGTCTTGTTCCTAAGCTTCATAAACAGATCATTTCATATTCTCAATGTCTGTATGATGGTTCATGCAGATGTGACATAGTTCATACAAAGAACATATATCATTGTTTTACTCATAGTCATAACAGTTCTTGTTTTTTGCTATCATAGCAGCAGTGAATAGCCGTGTGTGTCTAGAGCAGGGGCTCACAAGCTTTTTCTGCAGAGGGCCGCATGGTTTGTATTTTAGATCTCCTGGGCCATATAGTCTCTGTTACAACTACTCAGCTCTGCTATTGGATCAAGAAAGCGGCTGTAGACAACACACAAATGGGTGGCATGACAGAGTTCCAATGAAAGTGTTTACAAACGCAGGCTGTGTTGATCGCCTTTGGCCTGTAGGCCACAGTTTGCAGCCCCCTGAGGAGATATATTTTTCCAGAAGAAAAATTTCAGGGTCAGAGAATATATGCATGAATGTTTAACTTTGACATGTCATTGTTTTTTTGTTTTTCCCTCTCAACCTCACTGACTCAGGAAACACAAAGATATATCAAGATCACATTAAAAAGAAATTTGACGATCTATGGTCCAGCAAATCTATCACTGGTGTTTATGCATACATTTGCTCAGAAGCCAGGCAGGAAGAATGTGACTATATGGAACTCATTTTTGCTCCCAGGGAAACGGGGAAACAGCCGTATACGTTGGTCTTTGAAGGGCTGCAGGGAGTTGGAAAAACAACATTTCTAATGAAGGCAATGTTGACCTGGTCAGAGAGCAGCGTCTATCAGAGTAGATTCCTATATGTATTCTACTTCTGCTGCCGAGAACTGAAGCAGTTGACGGAGACAAGCTTGGCTGAACTGATTTCCAGGGACTGGCCCCAGCCCTCCGCTCCTATCACAGAGATCATGTCCCAGCCAGAGAGACTCTTGTTCATCATCGATAGCTTCGAACAACTGAAATGTGGGTTGAGTCAACCCGAGTCAGAGCTGTGCAGCGACTGGACGAAAACGCAGCCCGTGCGGGTGCTTATGAGCAGCTTGCTGAGGAGGAAGATGCTCCCAGAGTCCTCGCTGGTCATCGCAGTGGCGCCTCGGTGCACGGTGGAACTTCAGGATCGGCTGGTGTGCCCGGAATTCCTAATATTCCCAGGATTCAGGGAGATTGACATGCAGGCCTATTTCTGCTGCTTATTTCAAGACAGGAATAGAGCCATGGAAGCTTTCAGTTTTGTAAGGGAAAACGAACAACTGTTTATCATGTGCCGAGTCCCCCTCCTCTGCTGGATCGTGGGCACCTGTGTGAAGCGAGAGATGGAGAAAGGCAAAGATCTGACGTGGACCTGCCGACGTGTCACCTCTCTGCTTGCCTCATTCGTTTTTCACATGTTCACACCCAAGGGCGCCGATTGTCCAAGCCAGCAGAGCCAATTCCAGCTGAAGGGGCTGTGCTCCCTGGCTGCAGAGGGCATGTGGACCGACCTGTTTGAGTTCAGTGAGCAGGATCTCAGGAGAAATGGGATAGTTGACTCGCACATCCCTGCATTGCTGGACACAAATATTCTTGTGAAGTGCACGGAGCGCTCATACATGTTCCTTCACATGAGCATCCAGGAGTTCTGTGCTGCCATGTTCTACTTGCTGAACAGTGATGGTGTCCATCCTAACCCAGCTGTCAGATGCAGAGAGTTGCTACTCTTTACCTCTATAAAGAAAGCAAGGAAACTGCATTGGATTTCTTTGGGGAGTTTTACATTTGGTTTGTTAAATGAAAGGGAACAACAAAAGCTAGATGCAGTTTTTGGCTTCCAGCTGTCCCGAGAGACAAAGCAGAGATTTCTCCAGTGCCTGGCGTACTTAGGCGACCACGAAGATCTTCAGGAGCAGACAGATTTCTTGGCATTGTTTTACTGTCTGTTTGAAATGCAGGACGAAGCCTTTGTAAGGCAGGCCATGGACTTTCTCCAACAAGTTAACTTCTCTATCTTTGAAAACACGGACTTGGTGGTTTGCGCCTACTGCTTGAAATACTGTTCTGGCTTGAGGAAACTTCGGTTTGCAGTCCAAAACATCTTTAAGGAAGAGAATGGACAACACTCTATGTGAGTCCATCTAATGACTTTCCTTTTATCTCCTTTTCAGAATCTGCCCATATTCTCAAGTGGGTTTTGCTAATGGAGTGTTTAATAAGAGGGTCATGGTAGGAATCTCGCCTTTCCCATCTAAAAAGCTTCAGTCCAAGTCCCAGCTTGACTCTTTAGAAGCTGTGAGACTTGCCCTTTCTTAGCTGCCTCATCATAAAACTGGGAATAATATTAATAACTGTATTGTGAGGATTGGATATGAGAGTCTGTATGACTCTCATATTCCTTCCCTTCTCGACTATCAGCTGATCAGTCCTTATAATTAACATATACCTTGTTCTCACAAGACCATACTAAGGCTCTTTCTTGTCCTCCCAACTACAAATTGCCATTTAAAACTTGTTCTAAACACCTGTAATCCTAGCAGTCTGGGAGGCTGAGGCGGGTGGATTGCTAGAGGTCAGGAGTTCGAAACCAGCCTGAGCAAGAGCGAGACCCCGTCTCTACTATAAAGAGAAAGAAATTAATTGGCCAACTAATACATATAGAAAAAATTAGCCGGGCATGGTGGCACATGCCTGTAGTTCCAGCTACTTGGGAGGCTGAGGCAACAGGATTGCTTGAGCCTAGGAGTTTGAGGTTGCTGTGAGCTAGACTGACGCCACGGCACTCACTCTAGCCTGGGCAACAAAGCGAGACTCTGTCTCAAAAAAAAAAAAAAAAAAAAAAAAAAAAAAAAAAAAAAAAAAAAAAAAACTTGTTCTCAAAATTGTACAAATTTTAGCTCACTTAATACTCATAAAAATCGTATGGGGTGGATTCTGTTATGATGCTACAGATGAGGAAACTGGGGCAAAGAAGTCAAGCAAGCTGCCCAAAGTCACATAGTTGGAGCCTGGGGCATCTTGCTGAAGACTCTGACTGTGTTGTGCTCCCTCATCTTTTACTGGCTATAAAGCAGGATTTCTTAGCACTGTTGATGGTCGGGGCTGGCTCTCCTGTTTATGTGGGGCCATCCTGTGTATTGTAGGATGTTCAGAATCATTTCTGGCCTCTACTCGCTAGATGCCAGAAGCACCCCTCCCTAAGTTGTAACAACCAAAAGGACCTGCGGACAGCGCAGATGTCCCCTGGGGCCCATGCCACCCCAGGTTGAAAACCACTAATGTAGGGTGAACGTACTCGACTGGCCCTATTCTCCCTGAGTGAAGGAGGCTCTGACTCAGATGTCTTCTCTTCAGAAAGATAATGTGCTATGCTTACATGTTGTGAGTGGCTTGCGTTGACTGCTCTCCCATGGAGAGCATTTCCTTTCTTCTTGATCACAGGCCAAGTTGCAGCCTCATCAATTGGCATCATGTTTGCTCTGTGCTCGCGACCAATGAGCACCTTGAAAAATTCAAGCTGGTGAACAGTAGCCTCAATGAGTCAGCTATGGTGACTCTGTGTAATCAGCTGAGACTTCCCAGCTGCCGCCTTCAAAAGCTTGAGTAAGTTGAAGATCAGCCTTGACAGGAGAATATTGTGGAAATAACAAATTTGTCTCCACCTAGTTAGCCTTTGGTCCAGGCTAACTGTATAAGCAGAGAATTAGAATCTAGAGCAGAGTGTCTCAACCTCCGTACTTGGTGACATTACATCCCAGCTCATTCTTTGGGGAGGGGGTGGGAATTGTATGTGTTGTAGCATATTGAGAAGCATCCATGACCTCTGCCCTCTAGATAAGCAGCTTCCTCTAATTGTGACAATCAAAATTGTCTCCAGACATTGCCAACTGTCCCTGGGGGGAGGACAACTGCCCAGGCTGAGAAGCACTGAGCTACGTAATTGGCTGTGAAATCAGAGAATGAATTAATTATGAATGAAAAGATACAGTCAAAGAAAGGTATTCATGCTTCATTAGATGAAACCCATCTACAATTGTCTTTGTTTTGCAGGCTAAATACTGTTTCCTTTTCTGGTAAGAGTCTCGCTTTCTTTGAGGTGCTTTCTTACAATGCACATATAAAAAACCTGAAACTCATCAAAATGAAACTCTCCCGTGAGGAAGTGAAGCTGCTCTGTTATGGCTTGGCCTGTTCAGTGTGCAACGTAGAAACCCTAATGTAAGTCTCCACGTTCATTATGATCGCCGGTGCTTCTACAGAGGACTATATATTTTTAATGTATCTACTTTTTCTTCTTTTATGTTATCCCTATGCAAACTTAACCTCCTGGGAACTTCAGAATAAAATATGGAAGCTAAAGTTTCTCAATTGCTATAACCACTGTGGAAAACGATCTGCCTATATTCATCTTTCCCGGATTCTGACATACTGTATTACCCAAGAAATCCCACTCATAGGTGTACATTACACAGACCTGCATGTCTCAGTTTGCTGGAAGACAGGTGCCAACACCTGCATGGCAGGTTTTCACAATATCTGCAAAGTGGAAATACTCACTGACAGTAAGTTAGATAAGTCTGTGGTTTTAGTTTCACGAGAATGATCGATCTACTGCCATATGCAAAAATTTGCATGAATCTCATTATTGATGGAAATGAGCCAAACTCAGGAGTCTTTCATATAGTTTTATTTATATATAAATAAAATATTTGAACTTATAAAGTTCAAAGATGGGCAACACTGTGGCATTAGAGGTAAGGACAATGACAGGAACAGGGAGGCAGGAGGTGGTGACCATGCTCTGTTTCTTGACCTGGTTACTATTTATAGTAATACAGGATCATTACATTTATGACAACTCATTGGCCAGCACGTAACCATTTGTGACCTTTCAGTATCTGTTATATTTCTTTTTTGCAGTTAAATTACAATTCCCTCTAATACTTACCCTCTATCTTCTTTGGCACCCAAACATTCAGATGCCTCCCCATGCAGCTCTGTCTGCCATGTCTATGGGCTCCCATAAACCACACACAAAATTACCCAAACCTATTAATAACAACCTTGAGATATAATTCACATACCACAAAACATATGCTTTTAAAGTATACAATTTGGTGGCCTTGGTATATACTCAAATGGCTGCAACTATCACAACTAGCTCATTTTAGAATGTTTTCATTATCTGTAAAAGAAACTCTGTACCCTTTACCACTCACTCTGCTCCCTTCTTTCCCTCCTCTCTGGGAATTACTAATGTACTTTCAGTCTTGTTGGATTTTTCTATTTGAGACATCTCATATAAATTGAATCTGACAGTAAGTGGCCTTAAATGTTTTCACAGTTCTTCCAAATTGTACCATGTATCAGTATTTCATTCCTTTTTGTGGCTAAATAATCTGTTGTATAGATACACCACATTTTGTTTATCTAGTTACCTGTTGATGAACATTTGGTTTGTTTCCACTTTTTGGCTATTCTGAATAGGGCTCTATGAACATTCCTGTTTAAATACCTGTTTTCAATCCTTTTGGGTTTATAGCTGTAGAATTTCTGGGTCATATGGTGAGTCCATGTTTAAACTTTGGAGAAACCACCAAGTTATTTTCCACAGTGGCTGCACTATTTTACATTGCCATAACCAATGTATGAGGATTCCAATTTCTCCACATTTTTGCCAATACTTTTTATTATTATAGCCATCCCAGTGGGTAGGAAGTAGCATCTCATTGTGGTTTTGATTTTTCTGAATGACTAATGATGATGAACATATTTTTGCGTGCTTTTTGGCCATTTTTGTATCATCTTTAGAGAAATTGATATTTAAATTTTCTGCATTCTTAATTGGTTATTTTCTTTTTGTTAAGAGTTCTCTATATATTCTGGATACAAGTTAGGTAATATACTAGAAATGTTTCACAAATATTTTCTCCCATTCTGTGTGTTGTCTTTTCACTTTCTTAATGGGTGTCTCTTGAAGCACAAATGTTTTTAATTCTCATGAGGTGTACTCTTTCTGAGAGTCTTGCTATGTTTCCCAGGCTGGACTCAAACTCCTAGGCTCAAGTGATCCTCCTGCCTCTACCCTCCCAGGTAGCTGGGACTACAGGTGCATGCCATCACACCCTGCTGCATTTTATTTTTGTCTCATGCTTTTGGTGTCATAGCTAAGAAACCATTGCCTAACCCAAGTTCCTTAAGATGTACTTCTTTTCATCTGAAAGTTTTGTTTTGGTTCTTATATTTAAGTCTATATGATCCATTTTGAGTTAATTTTTGTGTGGGGGGTGAAGTAGGCCAAATCCTATTTTTTCACCCCTTAAAAATAATCTCTTAAAGCTAGAAACAATTTTAAAGCTATGCATTGGCACAGAATTTTCCTGGAGAGATGTTTGGAGCCACAGACTAGGTAGCTTGCCAATTACTCTTCCATTTCTTGACAACTGTCACAATCGTTTACACCTTTATTCTGTTGTCTGTGGGTTTAGTATACTTTTAGTGGCACACAGAGGTAAGGAGAGTAGTTGAGGTAATGGAAAACCAGAATTACTGGCAGCACAAATCAACTTGAGCAAGCCACCAAATGACGAGCCCTACTGGTCCAAGGCTTTGTCATGGAATGTTCTTTAAGGAGGTATTAGTTGGGCAAAGACCTGGATAATAAGGACCTGTCTAACCAAAGACCAGGAAAGAGCATTGCACTCCCAGGGAACAAGTGCAGAAACCCCAAATGGGGTAAAGGAGTTTGGTGGTGGGGGAGGATGCATTTGGGAAAGCCCAAACATGTCTACTTTGAAGCATGAAACCTGGTGTGGCCATGCAGCTGACAACAACCAGTGTGGCTGGGACACAGAGACTTGGGAACAGGTGGGGGCCTTGTAGATCATGTTGTATAGTTGGCTGCATGTTGGCTCTCCTACATGCAGGAGAGAAGTTACTGGGGAGATAAAGCCAAGTGTGGATGTCCCTGAGACTGTCTGAGGTTGTCTCTCACTGTGCCCCAAGTTTGGTGGTTGGGGGCCAGTGAAGTTCCAAGGGGAGCAAAGATCAGCTGTCCTGACAGGGTCAGTGTGAGGAATGGGTCCAGGAAATAGAAACCAACAGAACGTGACATCTCCCCTTTCCTGCAGGCTGGGAAGTTGCAGCCTTTTGCCGGAGGACTGTGCAATGTTTGCCGTGGTTCTGGACGTAAACAAGAAGCTGAAGCACCTGAACCTGACCTGCAACCACTTGGACCAGGGGTTGGGCATTTTGTGTGAAGCCTTGTGCCAACCAGACTGCGTCCTGGAGTTCCTGGTGTGAGTGAGCCTCGGGAATCCGTGGTGGAGGACTGCGGTGTGGTTTGAATTTTGGCCTGTTTACTGACATCTGTCCTTTACATGGCTGAGGTTTTAATTCAAATGCTTATGAACCAAACAGACAAGAGTTTAGTCTTTAGTCCAGGATTTACCACTGACAAACGTACATCTTCTTTCTTACCTTTTGTCTTATTTGAGTAAATCTATGGGAAGCAAGTGTAATTTGGTTACATGCATAGATTGCATTGCAGTGAAGTCAGGGCTTAAATGTATTTAAGTACTTAAATACATTAATTTCTCATCATCCACGCCTTGCCACCCTCCCACCTTTCTGGGTTTCCAGTGTTTATTATTCCACTCTAAGTCTATGTGTACACATTGTTTAGCTCCCACTTATAAGTGAGAACATGTGATATTTGTATTTCTATGTGCATACTGTCTTCTAGAGCAAAATGTTTAACCTCAGATTTGATTTTCTCCTCTGTAAACAGAAGGAGGGAAAAGTATCCTGTCTTAGCAGTCTTTTGAATATTACGAGAGATTGTACAGAGTACATACCAAACTTCAAACAATGTTAGATTGGATTAAGGCACCTACAACACACACAGTACTTCCTGTGTCGATAATGCACTTATTTCTGCCTGTAAAGTGCACTCCCAGCTGCTGCTCAGGACAGAGGGCCTCTTGCCCTCACTAAATTCTGAATGTGCTTCTCTTGCAGTAATGGGATGTGTGAATAGACTAACCAAGAAGCAAATGTAAGGTGCATGGGACACAGAGAAGGAAGACAGATCAGTTCGTGTGTTACAGGGTCAGTTGATTACCTGTCAATGCATTTCTAACATCTTCAGTTTAACATCTTCAGTTTATGCTAGTACTTATACAAAATCAGGGAAAGGACAGGAGAGTGTGTATTTATTTATGTTTTTTATACACAAATATCCTTGGAGGAAATGTAAGAACTAAGCTGGGAGGTAGTGTAGGAGGGAGATTTTTCCCTCTTTCTACTTTTGGATTTTTGAAACAAATAAGGGTATTCTAAGAATAAATCAAGGAAGTTGGAGGATTTCTACTTCCAGCTAAAATGGAGGAAGAGGGACTGGATGAAACTTTCTGTAAATATCTACAAGGTCTCTATGGTCTATAGTGCAGATTAAGTCCAATGTTTCATTGTTGATTTTCTGTCTGGTTATCTGTCCAAGGCTGAAAGTGAGGTGTTGAGGTCTCTCTCCAACTACTATTGTATTGGGATTATCTCTCTTTTTGACTCTGATGATAATTCATTATATATCTGGGTGTTCCAATGTTGGCTGCATATATATTAAGAGTTGTTATATTGTCTTGCTGAATTTACCCTTTTATCATTATATGATGACTTTGTCTCTTTTCACAGCTTTTGTCTTGAAATATATTTTATCTGATAGAAATAAAGCTATTCCTTCTCTTTTTTTGGTTTCCATTTGCACAGAATATCCTTGTCCACTCTTTTATTTTCAGTCTACATGTATCTTTATAGGTGAAATAGGTTTCTTGTAAACATCATATAGTTGTGTCTTCTTATCTATTCAGCTACTGTCTTTTTTTTTTTTTTTTTTTTTGAGACAGAGTCTCACTTTGTTGCCCAGGCTAGAATGAGTGCCATGGCATCAGCCTAGCTCACAGCAACCTCAAACTCCTGGGCTCAAGCGATCCTTCTGCCTCAGCCTCCCAAGCGGCTGGGACTACAGGCATGCACCACCATGCCCGGCCAATTTTTTCTATATATATTATTTGGCCAATTAATTTCTTTCTATTTATAGTAGAGACGGGGTCTCACTCTTGCTCAGGCTGGTTTCGAACTCCTGACTCGAGCAATCGCCCGCCTCAGCCTCCCAGAGAGCTAGGATTACAGGCGTGAGCCACCGCGCCCGGCCCAGCTACTGTTTTGTTTTTTTTTTTTTTTTTTTTGAGACAGAGTCTCGCTTTGTTGCCAGGCTAGAGTGAGTGCCGTGCGTCAGCCTAGCTCACAGCAACCTCAAACTACTGGGCTCAAGGGATCCTCCGCCTCAGCCTCCCAAGTAGCTGGGACTACAGCATGTGCCACCATGCCCGGCCTAATTTTTTTTTGTATAATTAGTTGGCCAATTAATTCTTTCTATTTATAGTAGAGACGGGGTCTCGCTCTTGCTCAGGCTGGTTTCGAACTCCTGACCTCGAGCAATCCGCCCGCCTCGGCCTCCCAGAGAGCTAGGATTACATGCGTGAGCCACCGCGCCCGGCCAGCTACTGTCTTTTGATTGGACAACTTAGTCCATTTACATTCAGTGTTGTTATTGATAAGTAAGGTCTTACTGCCATGCTGTTTGATTTGTGGTTCTCTTTATTTCTTCATTCCTATCTTTCTTTGTGAAAAGTGATTTTTCTTTGGTAGTATGTTATAATTTCTTTTTATTTTTTGTTGTTTGTTGTAGGTTTTTTGATTTGAGGTTTACCATGAGGCTTGTAAAACATATTTTAAAACTATTTTAAACATATGACAACTCTGCCAACAAGCAGAGAAATCTAACAAATTCTACATTTTAATTTCATGCCTCTGCTTTTTAATCTTTTGTTTCCCTCTATATCATTTTATACTATCTAACTCTCAAAATGTTGTGCTTATGATTTTCGATAGGTTTGTCTTGTAGGCTCCTACTCAAGATATGAGTGGTTTATACACTGTGATGAGAGCAATAGCGTATTCTGTATTTATGTACTTACCATTACCAGTGGGTTTTATACCTTCATAGGAGTTATTATTGTTTATTAATGTCCTTTTCCTTCATATTGAAGATCTTCTTTTAGCATTTCTTACAGGGCAGGTCTGTTGTTGATGGACCCGCTCTGCTTTTGTTTGTCTGGGAAAGTCTTTATTTCTCCTTCATGTTTGAAGGATATTTTTGGAGGATATAATCTAGAGTTAACTTTTTTCCTTCATTACTTTGAATATGTCATGCTACTCTTTCCTGGCCTGTGAGATTTCCACTGAGAAGTCTACTGCCAGACATGTTGGAGCTCCTTTATATGTCTTTATGTCTTTTTCTTCTTTCTTTTCTTTCTTTCTTTCTCCCCTTCCCCTTCCCCTACCCTCCCTCGCCCTTCCCCCCTGCCCCCCTTTCCCTCCCCTTTCCTTCCCTTTCCCTCCCCTTTCCTTCCCATCCCCTCCCCTTTCCTTCCCATCCCCTCCCCTTTCC